TGGGCGCTTTGTGGGGGCAGGAGATGGTTAGGAGAGAGAAAATCTCAGAAAAATTAACATTATTGCTATCTTTCAATATAAAGATGCAAATGGCATTTTATCTTAACTTGGCTCTGTGCTTTAGTCAGTGTTTATGATTAATTATCTCCTTTTTCATAAAAATAAATCATGTTAAAAATTAGGATCTGGGCGCTGGGGAGAAACTAAGCACTGGTTTCAGGTCGATCTTGTTAATTTCAGCCTGAAATTGACACACTAATTAAAGAGCAGCATGGTAAAGCGGGGAGCAGGCAAGATTATACCCAGCGCTTTTTTTTTTTTTTATCAGATCTACCTTATATTTTCCCAATTAAAAACTGCAAAAAGCAGTTTCATTGCCCTGGGATAAAAAATAAGAGTCCCCTTTTCACAACATTGGCCATCACTTTCTACCATCAGATTCATTGTGATGTATTAGATGCAATAAATTATCCCATGTAACAAAACATTGGGAGCTGAAAGGCAGATAATCTGGAAAGCAGAGATAAGGATTCATTATTCCAAATCATTATGAATCCAACGTTGCCTCTGACTTCTTTCTTAATCAGCTCCTCTGATCCTGGATATGTGAGCAGTACAGATAAGGAAAGACTCGTTTATAATTCTCCACCTCGTCTAATATTTTAAAATAAAGTCAGAGGCAAGAAAACGCCATAAAACACTGGTGAGCAGGCAAGCGCCGAATGAAAAATCACTTCCATGTTATTATATCCACAGTAAGATTTAATTAAAATTCTCCACGTCCACGTGCTTTATTTTCAGATAGGATTTTTTCCCATCATGTAATAATTGATAGGAATTTGCAAACGGGGCTATTTATTTAGGGCGCCTGGGTGGAATAGGTCTGAATTTTTTTTTTTTTTAAATTTCCAGCCACTGCTTCGTGAAACTTTCATTTGAGACGTCCAGGGTTCCACGCTACCCAACGCCCCCGACCAGGGACAGGACAAGGGTCCCGTACCACCCTGTCATCCCCCAACCAGGCCGTCTTCTTGGGCGGGGAGGCAGAGGCAAAGTCACTGACCTGAAAGTTGAGTTTCATAAAAATGTTCTGTTAGAAAAAGAAAAAATAAAAAAGAAAATGAAAGAACTGGTTGTCCCCACCCCAGATCCCATTTACAGCCTCTCAACAACCCCTCCCCCTTACGCATTTATAATAAATTAAATCTCAATGAGTGGAATTGAAAGATTAGAACTTTCAAACCAAGGCTAATGTTGAGTGCGTTTTCATCTGGCGGAGAGGGAACTTAACTAAACCAGTGTGAGGGGATGTACTGGAAGGTAGAAAAAAGGATGAGGGAGCGATGCCGAAGACCCGTAGGCAGAAAGAAAAAGACCACCTGTGTTTTAGGGGAAAGAAACGGGGTGTTGGAAACCCGGAAGAATAAATATACCGTGTCCCCAGCCCTGCGTAGAGCAACTCTAAGTGGCCACACATCTTAGAAAGATTGAAGATCCTGCCAGCGATTATTTCTTCCCATAAGGTCTCTCTCCTTTTTCTTTATCCAACAGGTGAACTTCACATCTACGTGCTGGTGGCAGAGATCCAGGACACACTATTTCTGTTATCTATTTAGTCATTTACTGATCCACCTTCCACCTCCACAAGCCCCGGTGACTTCCCTTTATATTTAAAATTCAACCAAAAGCCTTTGCTTGGAGGCATGTGGCCCCATGCGACATGCGACTTAAAGCGGTGGATGCTGGTGCCGTATAATTAGCATGGCGCGATTGCCTCCGGGAAGGACCCCCAACCAAGCTCCGTCCCCAGGCCCAGAAGGAGCCTCAGAACATGTCTCTACCTGGTTCAGCCTCTGAATCTAAACCCAGGAAGGAGGACCTCCTATCCAGGGTTAAGGGGTTAAGAGGCCTGAGGTCTTTCATCCCCCCCGGGAGAGGGGCAGCAGGGTACGGTGGGCAGGGGTGCTGGCCATAGGTGAGAGGCACCTGAGGGGCACGTGCCGTCTGTGCGTGGCAGAGAGCTGGGTCCCTGCCTTCTCGCTCGCCCCAAGCAAGGACTTCTCAATAAAACGGGTCATCGGAGAGTGCTGAAATCTTGGGAGAGAAGTCACCCTATCCCCTCTGGCTCGTTGGACCGGGGCAGGCTCTGAGCACCCGGGGATCCCCTGGCCCTCAGCCTTTAACTCAGACAGTGGCCGGGGAACAGCGAAGGGCCGCTGTGCTCTGTCTGTCGCGCGCGAATATATATACACACGCACAGAGACCCGAACCACGAATCAGCGAGACAGAGTGGGAGCTTTTAAAATTCAGAAAGCGACTTGTGGCTTCATTAAAGCAGCATCTTTACAGTGTGCAGGGGCCAGCGTCCACCAATCGTGAATAAATCTTCAGCCCGTCCGACGAAGCGCCCAGCGCCTCACTTTACTTCTCAAGATAAATTCTCTCCTTTCCTCACCCCACCTGCCCCAATGTCAGGTCTCCCCCAACCCTCCCGGAATAATTCGCTCTCGTTTCCCCAGCTAGTGGCAGGGTCCGCCCGTAAGTCCATTAAGACAGGGAGCGCCCAGCTGGCATTTCTTCGCTGAGCGTTGCCTCTGTCCGACCATCAAATTGAAAACCAGTTAGATTTTCATTGCGTCCGTTGGGTTGTTTTTCTTTTTAAAAGTCTGAGTGTCTGGCAGCCGAATGTCCTCCAATGAAGCCTTCCTTTGCTAGAGGTGGTATTGGGGTGACGGGGGAGCGGCGCGTACGATTACGTTTCTCAGTCCCTCACCGGTCACTTTAGACCCGGAGACGAGCAAGTGCCCGCGTCGGCAGAAAAGGAACGCAGAGAGGGGCCGCCAGCCCCGCCGGAACCCCGGAGGTCGCGGGCGCGCGCGGGGACGCGGTGGCCCAGAGCGCCTGGAGGAGCGGGAGCGGGAACCAGACTTGGCTCCGGGGCTGCGGGCGGGATCTGGGTCGAAGGGACCGAAGGGACGGGACTTGGGCTTTGCAGTTGGAGGAGAATCTCGGGGTGTGTGTGTGGGGGGGGAAGGACGTGGGATATTGTGACCCCCCCTCCCAGAGGGGCCAGAGCGGGGAGGACAGCTCGGAGGAAGACGCAAAGGGCCCCCACGGGCCTAGTGGACGACGAGTTGGGGTACAGCTAACACCGAGGCCGAGGAGACAATTGTCACCGTCTGCGTGACGGATGACCCCTCCCGGGGCCCGCAGTCCAGTTCCCCAAGTGGCAGCACGCGCGACAAGGCGCGATGGGGTCTCGGGATCCTACAGGGCCCCGGAGCCCCCTGGCCGTCGCCGCCTCCCCGGCCCGGCCCACGCAGCCCCCCGCGGAGGGCCGGGCAACAGGTGGGGTGAAGCCGTCAGGAGGAGGGCCTGCTCCCCCGCGTCCGCAGAGGCGCAGCGCCGCCGACTCCGCGCCCTGGCGCCAGGGAGCTGGATTCGGCCGCTTGGTGGCGGAAGGCGGGCGCGCGAGGGCAGGAGGGCGGAGGAGGGGCTGAGCTCGTGACGGAGGTGGGCTCCGGGGCCCCCTCCGTGGCGCGGCGGGGGGCGGGGGCGGCGGCCTTCTCCTCCCCTGGCCTGGCTGGCAAATGACGAGCCCCTCGCTCCGCGCTCTCGGCTCCAGCCCGGACCCCCGAGGGTGGGAGCGGAGGGCGCGACCGGGAGCTGCGGTGTCCGGGGTCCGGGGGCGGCTGGAGGCCGCGTCCGCGTCCCCGCAGCTCCGGCCCATCCCGAGCGCGAGGCTCCCCGGGCTGGGCAGCGTCTGTACCCGCTCTCCGGACACCAGGCTCCACGGCCAGCTCTGCCCTCACGCCGCGCTCCTTGGCGCTGCCCAGCTGTCCCTGGCCTTGCTGTCCAATGGCCTCGGCCTCCCTCCAACCCGACAGCCGCCTCCGAACACTGTGCGCCTCTGAGCCGGCGACTCTTTCCTACCTGGTTCCGGCACCAGAAACTTCTTGACTTCCTTTCTGGGCAGTGGACAGGTTTTATTTTATTTCTCCCCAAAGATGTATTTATTTTTAAAGTCAGTCTCCATATTCTCATTGTATAAATATTGTGAAGGGAAAGCTCTACCTGTCAAAACAAACGGACCCTGACCTCTCTCCCCTAGTGTTGATAGAGTTTCACTTTACTCTTGCAGAAATTTTGTCTCCACAGACTCCTCCGTGGGTTATTCGTATCCGCAGGGGCGGTGCGGGAGTGGGGGGGCTTCACACGAGGGCTGCAGCTCGCTGAGTCCAGTGGGTGGACTCACAGGTCATTTGCCTTAGACATTTTATCTTCAGAGCTTCCTCTGTCTCTCTCTCTTATCTCACTGTCCTAAAAAGTAACTTTTCCCTACAATTCTTTATGAGTTGGGACCCCCAGAGAGCCCCTCCCCAAACCTCTACTTAGTGCGTGCATAGGCACCCCTGCCCCCAAACGCTTTCACACCCGCCAGGAAGAGGGCCAAAGACTGGGAGGAGGCCCAGAGCCCAGTCCCCCACCATCCATCCTGCTTTTTCTAACTTACTGGCCGGCGGTGGCTGAAGCGTGCAGGCGTTTCTGAGGTGTCAGCATAAACAGAAACAGGAGGAAGAGTCAGAAGGGAGAGGGAAAGCCCCATGGGACATGGGCCCTGTAATGGTGGCCATCAGTTGTATCTCTAGATGCTCCCACGGGGTCCCCACTTCCTCCAAAAATGGGAGGAAACTCTACAAAAGTCTTTACACCTACGGTGGCTAGCTAGCGACCCAGTCAACTGCCGATGACATTTACACTGTTAATTCTGACCCTGCCAGAGACAGTGGGCTTTGCAGGAGCCAGGGGCTGGTCACATGTCAGGCAATCTTTCCCCATCCCCCAAACTCTGCCGGCATCACCCACCCCTCGCGTGTGGTTTGCATGTTTGCAAAAGGGGGTGAGATTCGTTCCTGGCTCAGTCTTCTGCCCTCCCTCCCTTTCCCCCTTCGCAACCCGGAAGAGCTCTGCTGTCTACAGTCAGCAGGAGAAGGCGGAGGGAGGGCTTGCTAGGAAGGATGCACATCACCCAGGGTTTACTTCTTGCTGGAAGCCTGCGTGAGATGCCGTAACCAGCTGGGGCGGCGGGGACCACAGAGGCAACAACGGTGGCCAAGTCTGCCTGTCAGTTCTGCCTTCGGTTCTCCGGCAAGTCGTGGGGGGGAAAAAAATAAAAAACAGCTGGCCGGCGGGAGCGAGCCACCCAGGTCAGTGAATGTCGCTATCTCCTCTAACTCTGCACCCGCTTTCCGCGCTCCACGTGGAGAGAATTAAAAGGAGGTCTCGACCGCAAAGGGACAGCTGCCCCTGGAAGAAAGTGACCGAGACCTCGGTCCTATTGTTCTTTCTGGTCACTGGAAATCTTGGGCTTTTCTGCAGTGACCTTGGGCGAGCACGGTGTGTGCATGTGCGTGTGTCCTTGTTTGGAGAAGGGAGCTGGGAACGGGAGGCACGCGAAGAAAAACTAAGCGGAGAAATAAAGGTGGTGGGAATACACGGGACGGGCCAGACACGTGTTTTCCATATCAGGGGTGCAGAGGACTGGGGGGGAAAAGCCCATTTGCGGAGAAGCAGCTCAGCCTTCTCCTGAAGGTGGCTGCAAGGTCCAAGTGTCAATTTCATGTTTATTTCCCTCCGCTTACAAGTGTGTGTTTAGGCTCGTTGTCTCTGCATATAATTAAAGAAACAGCTGTGCTCTGTGAGATAAAAGTTGGAGCCCAGATGTGTGGGCATCTGGCACCCCCCCAGGAGGGGGGGACCTGGTGACTGGGAGGCGCCTTTGCTTCCTGGAGCGCCCTGAAGTGGGTAAGAAAACCATAGGCTCTGAGAGGGTGCCCACGGTCATGGGGAGACAAGAATTCTACTTTCTCCTGGGACACTGGACAGAGGGGACAAGAATTCTACTTTCTCCTGGGACACTGGACCGACAAACAAGACCTCCAAGACGTCACTTAATCGGAGGCAGGTCCCAACCAAGAGAGAGAACGTTAAAATGCGAGGGAGGCTGGGAGAATCTGGGCAGAGCTGCTTTCGGACATTTTCGCCTCCTTCCAGATACCCAGCCAGGGTCCTGAGGGGACTGACGAGGGCGACTGGGTCCAGGGAAGAGGAACGGACAACTGCCCCCGGCGGGGTCCCCCCTCTGCTTTGGTCCTCGTGTCTCCTGGTCCTTTTCTCCTCCGTCAGTCACAGTCACTAGGGACGCCTGGGTGGTGGATGAGAGATGATGAAATTTAAAGGGACGAATAATAAAGTAGCATCTGCAGCCCTTGTCCCCCTTGGCGGCTGTGTTGGGAAGGTGTGTGTAGGGGCCGGCGGTCCTGCCACAGGCTTGGGGCAGGGAGTCCCAGCGAGGCGGGCAGAGCAGAGCCAGGTGTCTGGATGTGAGGTGCTTGCAGGGCCTAGATGGCTGGTTGTGGGAGCGGGGTGGCCATGAAACCTCTTACACGTTTGTGCGATTCTGAGGAAAGTGTTTCCTGCCCATTTAAATCCGGGCTGGGGTGCGGTGTCCAAGCCCCAGGTGGTTTTGGGGTGCCGCTGTCGACTTCCGCATGGGATGGAGCAGGAGGCCCAGCTGCCAGCCAGTTGCCCTGCAGGCCTAAGGTTCCTGGTTTGAGAAGCCAGCTGGATTTTGAGGATACCAGTGAGTGGTTCTGGGTACACAAGCCATGGACCCCGTGGGCCCACCCTCCACTCCACACAAGATACCTGTGCCAGCCCTGGGGACTCAGGGGTGGGTCGGTTTGCCTACCAAAAGCGCAGAGGCAGGAGGAGCTGCATTTTCCTTTATTGATATTTCTGCCCTGCCTTTTTGTAGAAGGTACATGGCATGGGGGTGAGTGAGGGTGTGGAGAAGGGACGGGAGTGGGCACCCACAGCACTGGTTGAGGGAGCCTCTCTCTTGCGACCCGGAGCAGCCCAGGGCCACACGCAGAGCCTGCGGAGGGGCAGGCATGTGGCGGCATGTGGTGGCCGAGAACCTCTCTTGCGGAGGTTAAGGCAAGGTGTGGCAGGAACTGTCGGATGTGGCATTAGGGAGCCGATAAGGTGTGCGGGGGCAGAGTCCGAAAGCCCGGTGTCCGTCCCTGGGTTATTGTAGCCACTTCTGGGCCGCGTGGCAGGGCGGCCGCGCTCACATTCTTTTCGCGCGGTCTTTGTGTGGGGACCACATCCTTCTCTTAATGGTCGAAGTAACCCAGAGAGGTTCCGCAAGCGCCGGTTCGGCCAAGGCGCCCGCGAGCTGGAGTCCCAGCCCCACTTTGCTTCTGGCCGCTGGACACAAGGGTCTAGAGCTGGTGGCGGTAGGTGCGGTCCTCGGAAGGGCGGGAAGAACGTTGTGCCGGTTCCCTGGGTGTCCCTCGCCGCGGGTCTGCGGGCGCACGCGTGAGGCTGCTGTGTCGTTTTATATAATAAATTGCCTGGGGTCCACGGGGTGGCGGCCGGCAGGGCGCACGTCGGGGAGCGGAGGGCGCAGGCCCGCGGAGGTGACCGCGGGGGCTCCGGCGTGTCCGAGGGAAGGCGCGAACAATTCCCGCTTTTCGGAGCTCCTGTCTACCGGCTCCTGATGAGAACGAAATCGCCTCCCCCGTCTTCTCGCTCCCCGTGTGGGCGCCCCCTCCCCTTGAAGCCCACCGGCGATTGTCCAGCGACAACCACACCCCCGTTTTCGGGCGAAGCTAGAGAAGTAAGGCCACAATAGCCCCAAGATAAAGCCCTCCTCCTGCAGTGACAAGCCGAAGTGGCCGGAGGAGAGGCGGTCGAGGCCCGCGTCCAGGGCTCCGGGCTGGGGCCGGAGGTGAGGGCGGTCAGGCGGCCAGCGCCAAGCCAGGAGGCCGGGTCCTGGGGAGTGGGTCAGGGGCCCACGTGCACCCGCCCTCACCCGAAGCATGCGGGGCCTGGGGTTCGCCCGGGTGAGTCCCGCCTGCCGACCAGTCCCCGGGCATGCTGGTCGCTGCCTTCCCTGGGAGTCTTGGCGGCTTTAGCGGCGTCGCCTGAGGACACCGTCGGAGCGGAGCCTGGGTCCAGACGCGCGGGCCCCTCCAGAGTCAGTGGGACCGCTCAGGGCCGGATCAGAGGCCTGCGGCCCCGGGGCCCCGCGCGGACCAGCTGGAAGCCCTCCATCCCTTCCTTTTCTCTGAGGCGCCCACCTGTCCCCCTAACCGCCAAGGCCGGGGCGGGGGGGGGGTAGGGGAGTGGGGGGAGCTGGGAGGTGCGCCCTCCCTCCGCCCCCCTTCCAGGGTGACTCGCACTCCTTTCCATTCACCCTCCCCCGGGGAAATCCTCCTCTTCTGTCCAGCCCCGGGGCTCCCCGCTCCGTCAGCCCCCGGACCTGAGCGTCGTTCAGTTTCAAACAGAAACCCTCTGCCCTCTCGCTCCCTCCTCCCCCTTTCCGCTGCACTCCCACCTGCCCCATTTTTTATCTCGCTCCGAGAGGGGTTTTCTCGACCGGGGAGGAGAGGGGCGCGCGGCAGGAGGGCCAGGATCCCTCGAAGCTGGAGGGCAGGGCCGGCGGCGGGCGGCGGGCGGCGCGGGAGCGGTAATCTCCCGGCGCATCTCTCTCTGACGCTTCGCATCTTTCGCGGCTCCTCTCCTGGCCCGGGCGGGTTTCCTTCCGATTTTTAACCGGTGATAGATGAATAAGCAAAAAAAAAAAAAAAAGTAAATCAAACCACACATCACCACTCCCCCCCCGCCCCCCAAAGCGATGGCTCATTTCCCAGGGCAGGTGGAACTCAGGCCTGGGGCGGGTGGGCGTGGGAGACGCGAGGAGAGTGGCGCGCGCGGCGCCCTTCGCGCCTGAGTTCCCGCGGGCTTCCCCTTTGACGTTTCCACCTCCAGCATCTTCCCTTTGCCAGTGAGTTTGGAGGGTCCCCTTCCCCCCGCGTTCCCCCAGGTCCCTCACGCGCTGTGTTTCTTTCCAAGAGAACAGCTCCCCTGCCCGCTCTGCCTGCGCGTGGCTCCCCGCCTTTGGATTTCGCTGCCCACTCTGCCTTTCAGCTCATGCGGGAGAGGGAACGGGCCTGGGTGGGCACCGCACAGAGAGAACGTGGCGTGTGTTTAACCTGCGCCGTCTCGGGGCGCCGCGCCGGAGCCGGCTCCGCGCCGTTTCACCCGCGCGGCCGGGGCCGGGCGGTGGCGCCTGGGGCCGTGTCCCCGGCGTAACCCTCCCGTCCTGCAGCCGGCGGGCTGTTTATACAGCTTTACCTGTGCTATTCTCGTATCCAGTAAAAATCCTCGCCCGGCCGCGGTAACCTAATCCGAGGGCCGAGGCGGAGGAGGGGGCGGTGAGGCTGGCTCAGTGGAGAGGGAGGTGCGCGCGCCACAGGGGCTTCTTTCTGCCTTGCCCCTCCTCCCCGATGAGGAAGGAAACTGGGACGCGGTTCGCGTGATCGAGGTGGGGGCTAGCCTCCCCGGGGCTAGGGAGAGGGGAGGCCGGTTTCTACCTCCCTGTCGTCTCCGCTTTCCTCCCTTCAGCAGGCACCGGGGACAGGCGCGTAGCCGCAGCTCAGACGCGTGCTGCCAGCAGGCGCTGCGGTCCCGGGGGCGCCCCGCGGGGCCAGCGAGGCCCAGGACCGGTGCTCCCTGTCCAGAACCAGGACCAGCTCGCTCTCGCGCCGCTTTCAACTCGCCACCGTTAAAACTTCCACACCCCAGACAAAAACCCGCAAGGAAGGGAGCGGACCTAAAGCAGATCTTCCCTCCCAGCCCTCGCTCTTCCTCCAGAGTCCCCTCGCCCGGGCGGCTGCCGGCGCGGGGAATCGAATTAAACGCCTCTTGGCGGTGATTGTCTCTCGCTAATTGCTCCAACAATGGCCACTATTAAAATGGAGACACCCAATTAAAGGCCCCGCGGGGCCGCGCTGGGCTCCCCGCGACGAACTGGCCGCCGGCCTGGGGCTTGCAGACCGCCCAGGTGCGAACGGGGCTGGTAAGGGGCGCCGGCGCCGGCCTCGGCACCTCTGGCCTCCACTTCCTCCCCAGACGCACAGCGACCACGGCTGGTTCACACCATTTTTATTGACCGATCGCAGCCAAGGAAGATTGATCGAGCTGGAAAGGGAAGGGATTTCTCCTCCCCCAGCCCCCGGCTCGCCTGGGCCTCGGGGCCGCGCTCCAATTTCTGGCCTTTGCTGTCGCTCTGCGCCCTCCCCGCCCCCAGCCCCGCAGGTCCCCGGCTTCATTTCTGTCTTTAACTGTGAGGCCGGGTCCGCCCAGGCCGGCGCCGCGGCTCCGGGGGGAGGGACTCGGCGGCGCGGCCCGGCTCCGCTTCTTTCTCTCGCTTGCAAATATTTGCTGCCTCGCTGGAAATCCGACTGTTTCGCGCGCGCTCCGCTTGCAAAGTCCTTAAGTAAACACGCTCAAATGACCGCCCCAGGCGGCCCGAGGCACGCTCACTCCCCCTGCGCGGGATTAGTAACTTTATGACTTCGACCCCGAGGCTCGGCTTTTCTGGTTTCCCGCTGCGGGCTGCGCGCGGGC